TATCTAAATGTCCACATCAGACAGCTAAGGAATAAAAAGACCATACCCTTATTGGCCAAAAGGAGACTATTAAACTTGGTTAATGTCTCCTGTATTTCATGTGGTTACTTTCTGTGATCAAGAAACTTAAAGATAATGTTCTTTTAAATTTTTGTTATCTAAATCTAATGTTTTTTAAACTTTTAAAGTGCAGTGAAACCAGATTTATCATTACTTTTTCAATTAAAATATTAAAAATACTGATCTTGGAAAGCAACAGTATCTTCTAAAAGGAGACCTTATGTTCAATTGATCAAATATTGATACTACATTATAACAGGGTTCATCTGCTTTTTCAGATACACAGATTTTTGTTCATTATGAAAATAACACAAAACACTTGAACATATTAAATCTTTTACTATATATACATATTCTTTCAACTTACAGAAAAAAAAACAAGAATCTTACCTATGTTTCTATCTGCATTAAAGCTGTTAGATCTACAAATAATTTTTTTAAAAAGAAAAGAAAAATATTACTGATTGGTAACAACATGAAAATTAACATTTAGGACCTTGATATACTGACTGGTTTTTGGTTCTATTTTTCCACTGCTGAGGATCAAATACCATTCCATTTACACATGCAAGATGAGCAGTCTATACTGAGCTATAATACCAATCCGTAAGTGCTATTTTAATATTTTTGTGTGCATGAGTATATTGCCTGCATGTAAGTATACCTGTGTTGTGCAATGCCCATGGAGGTCAGAAAAGGGCATCAGATCCCCTGAACTGGAGTCATGGACCATTGTTATCGCGGTGTGGGTGCTGGTATTCAGACCCAGGTCCTCTACAATAACCAGTGCTCTTAATCGCTGAGCCATCTCTCCGGCCCTCTTAAGTGCTATTCTAAATGGAATACTACACAAAAAAAACAACAATAAAAATCTCCCAAGTAGTAACAAAGTACTCATTACAAAATTCTTTGAATTACTTATTTGTACATGTATGAAGTAAACGCACCATACGCACACAATGCCTACGAGGGTCAGAAGAGGCTATAGGATCCTCTGAACTGGTATATGAATGGTTTAGCTATCATGTAATAGTGCCAACTGATCCAAAAGCTACCAGTGCTCCTAACTACTGAACCATCTCTCCAGCTTCCTCATTACAAAATAGTAAGTCTAATTCTACTTAAAAATAATTTACTTTCTTCTAGTATTTGCCCAAATTTATAACGAGCTATTTTTTATTCCAAAAAGTACCAATTAACAGAGACAAGTCCATTAATACCTCCGTCAACTACTTTATTTTGGAAATAATAGAAAAAAGGTCCCTATATAAACATATATTCATCACTGAATATTTAACTCTAAGGTCTTAGCTTTTACCATGCACAATTCCAGGTATCAGGATTCTAAGGATAAACTGGACACAATCCCACATTTCAAGCAATTACAATCTAAAGGAAGAAAGGCACTATCCAACAGGTAATTTACCCGGTAATTACCAAGTGATAATCATTTTAAGTGTTGTGAAGAAAAAGACATCCAATATCATGGACTTAAAAACAAAACAAAACAAAACAAAACATCAGGGTCACTTTTATCTCTTATTACATGAATAGGTACCTCTGAATTTGGAAGTTTTTAGGGTTTATTCACTGACAAAAAAAAAAAAAGCACATCTTTCATATGTGACTTTATAAAACAGTTTCAAAAGTTACTTTTAAATAAGTATAGGAATGCAAAGTAAAAATAAATACCCATTTGACCACACCACCTAATCTCTAAATTTACTTAGTTAAATGAAACATTCTCTGTAATCCCTGTATAGTCAAGAAAGGGAGGTAAATTCTTTGTACCTGGTCACTTAATATTACAGCTTCTTAGAAATCAATACTACTAAATAAATACTGGCGGAATATCAGAATCTCTTGAAATTTTAAAAAAATAAAAAATAAAAAGGAATGCTAGGGCTGGAGAGAGAGCTCAGTGGTTAGGACCACTGACCTGCTTTTGCAGCGGACCTGGGTTCAGTTCCCAGCACCCACATAGAGGGCTAGCAACTGTCCATAACTCCAGTTCCAGGGGATCCAATGCCCTCTTCTGACTTTCATGGGTACACTTACAAGCAGGCAATACACTCATAAACGTAAAATAAATAAAATATTAAAGAAAATTGAGAACTTTTATAAAAGATGCCCCAAACCAGTTAAATATCTAGTGTGACACTTAGGCATTCTTATTTTATTTTTATTTACTATTTTTATTTGATGTGTGTGAGTGTATTGCCTTCATGTATATAAGTGTGCCCATGCCATACAATGCCCATGGAAGTCAGAAGGCATCAGATCCCCTGAAAGCGGAGTTATGGACAGTTGGCTAGCCACTGTGTGGGTGCTGGGAACCGAATCCGAGTCCTCTGCAAGAATAGCTAGTGCTCTTAACCACTGAGCCATCTCTCCAGCCCCTAACAGTTCTCAGTATTTCAGAGAGTTAAATGTACAGATTTTCTGTTTGAGTGGAAACAAGGTCTCTTAACATAGCAAAGACAGTTTCAAATGTGCCACACAGACAAGCAGACCTCAATTTCCCAAGTGCTGAGAGTGAATACAGGGATAGACCACAACACCCAGTTACAATTCTACTTTTAAAAACTGCATTTATTGCCAGGCGTGGTAGTGTACACCTTTAATCCCAGCACTCTGGGAAGCAGAGGCACGGATCTCTGTGAGTTCGAGGCCAGTCTGGTCTACATAGTGAGTTCCAGGTCAGCTGGGGCTACAGGGAGGCCATCTCAAAAAGACCAAAAACAAAAACACAAAAAACAAACCCCGCATTTATTGGAGCTAGAGATGGCTCAGTGTTTAAAAGCGCTGGCTGCTCTTGCAGAAGACCCAGACTCTGTTCCAGCAGCCACATGGGGGCTAACAAACATCTGTAATACCAGTTTCAAGATTATCTGACACCCTCTTTTGACCTCTCATGGGCACTGCACTTACCTATATGCAGGCAAAACACTGCATTTATTAAACTATCCACACCCACAATATCAGTAAGAAAAGCAACTTAGCTGGGTAAATTTAAGCAAATTTTATGGTCTCTCCTTCACAATGACCTATTAGAAAGTATCAAAAACACTAAAACATCTAGTTGTTATCAAAAAATGTTGGAAGAGGGCAGTGGTAGTCTCTGTGCCATTACTCTGAATAGTGTGTAAAACTTGTCTTACCTCAATGAAGATAAAAACTTCGGAGACTGTATATCATCTTTGTAAGTAAAAGACACAACTGCATATGGACAAACATGCCTTGGTCTTCGCCTTAGTTCATCAAAGCCATACTCATAGAAATAATACTAAAATAAGAAAATAAAAAATTCATTTTTAAATAGGCAAGTAGTAGAGGAGAATATACTGATTACAAAAATAACACCAAGTACTTTTGACAGAGATCTCTCTGAGTTCTAAGCCAGGATAGTCTACATATCAAGTTCCAGGCCAGCTGGGGCTACATAGTGAGACCCTGTCTCCAAAACAAAAACAACAAAATGAGAAGCTGGACAGACAGTTCAGCATATAAGAGCATTAGCTAATCTTGCAGATAGGGTTCATTCCCAGCATCTATATGCCAGCTAACATCCATCAACTATTCGTAACTCCAGTTCCACCAAATCCTATGTCCTCTTCTAGTCTCACAAGCATTGAACACACATGGTATACTTACATATGTGTAGGCAAAGAACACATACACAAGAAAAACAAATTAATTAAAAAAAATAAAGAAAAATTGCGGCTGGAGAGATGGCGCAACAGTTAAGAACACTGAATGTTCTTGCAGAAGACCTGGGTTCCAATCCCAGCATCCACATGGCAGCTAACAGCTGTTCGTAACTCCAGTCCCAGGGGATCCAACAGCCTCTTCTGACTTCTGCAGGCATTGCACGACACAGGTGCACTTACCTACATGCAGGCAATACACGCATACACATTTTTTTAAAAAAAAAAATTTTATATATATAAAGGAAAATTTAAAACTGTATTTTTATTGTTTACTTATTTTTATTTTATGTGTATGAATGTATTGTCTGCATGTATGTAACTGTACTCGTGTCAAGCAATGCCCAAGGAAGAGAGAAGAGGGCATCAGATTCTCTGGACTGGAATTAAGGAGTTAGCTGCCATGTGGGAGCTGGGAATCGAACCCAGGTTCTCTGCAAGAGCAGTCAGTGCTGTTAACCACTGACCATCTCTCTAGGCCCCAAAACTGTATTTTTAAAAGGAAAATATGTATTTTTCTATATATCTTATAAGGCTTAAAGATTAACTTTGCATTCTTTTAAATCTAAGATACTCAAGGAGCTTGAATTTTACTTTGAAAAATGAGTGGTATTGTATTCACCAAAAGGATTTTTCTAAGGTCTCAAAAGGCACAGCACAGATTTCACAATTAGGTAGAACTGGAGAGAAGGCTCATCTGTTAAAAGCACTTACTGCACCATCATGAGGACCAGAGGTTGGATCCTAGTACCCACAAAACAAGCCAGAGAGGCATTTTGAAAATGTCCGTAACTTCAACTTGAAGATATTTGATACCCTTTTCTGGCCTTCACTTGTGCATAGGTGCATGTACTCCTATAGACATAAAAATATAAATCTTTAACATTAAAAGGACCCAAGTACGTACCTGAGTAAGCTCATAGGCTCTGTAAGCCAAAAGGGATGTAATTCTACTGGCATTCTTTGACACATGGCATTCATGCTTTGGTGTAGGATCCAAAGCATTTCTATTTAGCATAGGTTCCAAGCTTTTTACACTCACAGTGTCATATATACTTTTGATTTTACCCTAAGATAAAGAAAACATTTTGTGTCCATTTAAACACTATTTTTTTTTAAATATACAGAACATAACAAGTAAAGAGAAATTCTATCCACGACACTCCTATTTACATTACCAATACATTCCTCTCTTCATTCTTTCCTTTGGAAAACAGTTTGTATGATTAGCTAAGATCAAAGATGGCAAATAAGGGCCAGCAAGATGGTTCAGCAAGTAAAAGTGCTTGCCACCAAGCCTGATAATCTGAGTTCAATTTCTGGGACCCACATGGTGGAATGAGAGAATGAACTCCTGAAAATTGTTTTCTGACTTCCATGCTGTAGCACATGTGCCCACACATATACAAACCAAATAAACTTAATTTTTTTTTAAAGTTAGAAAATAAACCAATTTTTCTCTGAATGTAAAGTATGCTCTCTATATTCTACCAATTGTAGACGTTTAATCAAACTCCTAAAGACTTGGCATCAGTTAAAATTAAAATCCAAATTAAATATTGTCTTTGATATGTGCACATAAAAGTTGAAATTACCTTCATTATTTTAAAAATAACAACATCGCCCACTGCTCCAGCTTCCAAAGGATTAGCCTGTAACAAATCTGCATACCTAGAAAGATAGATACCTAATAGAGAGAAAGATAATTTCAATTTGAACAAGTAGGTTTGAATATACAAAAAAAATCCAAATATTTATCATCAATAATAAGAGATAGGAAGTATGACAATTTTAAAAAGCAGTAGACAGCAGAAATAGTGGATATTTAACCTGACAGCAGAGATATTGGATATTTAACCTAAGTAAAACATAAAATTAATATTTTCAAAATCATTTGGACTAGAATAAAACACATAACCTTTGATCAATTAGAAGTATGCAAAATAAAAAACAAAACAAAAAAAGTGTTACACTTCAGAACCTAAGACCAGTCTCCTTTTCCAAAGCATAAAGAGTGAATTATGACTACATCAAAATTGCATGAGGTATTTTTAAATGGCAACTTTAATGGTAGGTAGGTAAAAATGAAAAACAAAAAAAACATTACCCATGGAAGGACTGCCAAGAATAGTTATTTTGGACTGGCCCACCTGCAATCCTTTTTCACATATGCTTTGAACCTAAGTAAACAAAACACTTCAATTTGAAATCATAGTAAGTAAAAGCAATTTGCAAATTTATTTTAAATAAAATGTAATCTTTCAAGCTATACATATACTACGTTATAGAAGTTTCAGTTAATGACTAAGTATCAATGTGGAACTGGCTTAAACTTCCAAGATAATCTTATCAGAAGTTCATCTTATTTATACTACCTGTGCCTCTCACAAATATGATCACCCATTTATAGAGCAAATTAAGACCAGCAAATATTTAAAGAGAAAGTTAACATCACCCTATTTTTTTTTCGGTCTTTTTGAGACAGGGTCTCCCTGTAGTGGGGCTGGCCTGGAACTATGTAGACCAGTCTGTCCTTGAACTCACAGAGATCTGCCTGCCTCTGCCTCCTGACACCTGGGATCCAAGGTGTATGCCACCACACCCAGCTACCATCACCACTTTTAATTAAAATGGGGAAAATGGCTAGAAGAATACATAAAACATATTATATAAGACAATCGTGTTTTCATAAAGGGAAATGCTTTATCAAGCATATTCTAGAGGGAAGAAAATATAACTGGTCAGAAAAACAACCTGAAAAAGAAATTATAAAATAATTTCAAATTGCTCCTCAAATAATTTCCTCTATTTGTGATTTTTTTAAAAATGGAGGCGGAGGGGAACTGGAGAAATAGCTCAGCAGTTAAGAACACTGGCTGCTCTTGCAGAAGACCCAGGTTCAATTCCTAGCATCCACATGGTGGCTAACAACCATCCGTAACTCCAGTTCCGGGGTATCCAAAACTCTCTTCTGCCCTCTGCAAGCACTGCACAACATGGGTTCAGTTACATACATGCAGGCAATACACTCATACACATAAATAAGTTAAGTTATAGTGTATGCTTGTAATCTCAGGTGGCTAGCAGAAAGATGCCCTAAGTTCAAGGCCAACCTAGTCTACATAGCAAAACCTTGTGTAGGCAACCAGGGCTACACAGTCAGACTTTAGCTCAAATAAATAAACAAACAAACTACACAGACTTTAGCTCAAATAAATAAAGTAAATAAATAAAATAAATAAAATAAAGTAAAAACGAGGGCCATTTGGTAGAAGCACCTGCCACCAAGCATGACAACCCAAGCTCAATCTCCAGGACCCACGGGGGGGCTGACTCCTAAAATTTGTCCTCTGACCTCAGAGCACACACACTCACCCATATAAACTAATAAAAACAGAAAGTTACCTTATCCTTATCAAATGCAGTTAAATAATTGTGAAATTAATGACTTAGAAAGGAAACGATTCTGATTCTCACCTGATATCGATCAACCATGAGAAATGCATAGGATTCTGAAAGTTCCTTATCTAAACGACCATCAAACTTCAGTTCTCTTCTCTTTTCTGTAAACTAAATGAAATCAAATCTATAACTACTTAACATATGATTTTCACTCAATTTATGAGTTAAAGAATTTTTCCAAGAAATTCCAAGCCTACGAAAATAGAAATCTTTCTTTCCCTATGCCTTCTGCTGTTCAATTTTCAATTTTATTTCTCCCTGTTTTAATTCCCTATATATTGTATTTTAGCTGAATCTCTATTTAAAATTCTATCATCTCCCCAATTCCCTCAAATAGAAATTCATGATACTGCTATCTTTGTATCTTTCATTTAACATAGTGCATTGCATATGCTAGGTGATTTAATGTCTATTTAAGCCAGACATGGTGGCAAACACCTGTAATGCAAACTCCAGAGCCTACAGCAGGAAAATCTCCTGAATATATAGGGCAGCTTATGCTACAGAATGAGACCCTGCCTCAAAAACAAAAAGATCTGTTGAATGACCAACTATGAACTCTGTCATAACAGGGAGGAAAATGTTCTACTCTGTTCAAGTAATCTAAACTGCTGGGGGGGGGGTTAATTTTTTTTGTTTGTTTGTTTTTATTTTATGTGTATGCATGTATTGCCTGCATGTAGGTAAGTGCACCTGTGTCGTGCAATGCCTGCAGAGGTCAGAAGAGGCTGTCAGATCCCCTGGGACTGGAGTTATAGACAGTTCTTAGCTGCGACGTGGGTGCTGGGATTCGAACCCAGGTGTTCTGCAAGAACAACTAGTATTCTTAGCCGCTGAGCCATCTCTCCAGCCCCTATTTTTTTTTTTTTTTTTTTTGGTCTTTTTGAGACAGGGTCTCCCTTAGCCCCAGCTGGCTTGGAACTCATCTTTGTAGACACCAGGCTGGCCTTGAACTCACAGAGATTCACCTGCTTTTGCCTTCTAAGTGCTAGGATTAAAGGTAGGCACCACCTCGCTTGGCTGGATTTACTTTTAGATTCAAACAAATATCTATTCAAACTGCAGATTATCTAACATTTTACATTAGTAATCTAAACTGCTGGCCTACTTTCGGAGTCAAGCAAATATCCATAAACTGTAGAATAGCTAACATTTTATATTAGTATTCAGGCCAGCTCTTCAAACATACAACTTCAAATGAAATTTTCATATAAAATTAACAAGGAATTTCTAGCATACCATGAAACCATATCAAACCACCAAAAATTTTATTTTCTCTAGGAACTGATAACATTAATGTCTCTTAATTTATTTTTTTTAGTATTTTATTATTTTTATTATTTTATGTGTATGGTTGCCTGCATGTGTGTGAGTGCACCCTTGTCATGCAATGCCACAGGGGTCAGAAGAAGGCTTCAGATTCCCCTGGAACTAGAGTTCCAGGACCTCTGCAAGAGCAGTCAGTGCTCTTAACCAATGACCAAATCTCCAGCTCCATGTCTCTTAATTTATATAAACTTATAAATAGTTCACATCCACTAAAAATAAATCCATGTCAAATATTTCTAAAATTCCAAGTGTTATCTCAGAATTACACATGCTGGCTTTTCCTATATTACATTCAAAGAATATTGAAGTAGAATTTTCACTAGTATTAACAATCCAGCCAAGTAATTTTATAAAAAATGATCACGCCAGGTGTGGTAGCGCACACCTTTAATCCCAGCACTCGGGAGGCAGAGGCAGGCAGATCTCTGTGAGTTCAAGGCCAGCCTAGTCTACATAGTGAGTTCCACGCCAGCTGGGGCTACAGGGAAACTCTCAAAAAGACCCAAAAAAAAAAAAAAAAATCATATCCTAATAAATCACACATACTTCATTTCCTAATCTTCTAATTTAGGTATGTGCAAAACACAGGAAAAAACTTTACTGTGAATTTATAATTAGGTAGTCCTCATTAAGCTACATGCTTAACGACTTAAGTGTCAAAATTTTACATAACTACACATTATTGAGAAAACATGAACACAGTACTATAGCAATAACGTTTAGGAAAAAGAGATACATTTAGGGGTGGAGATATACCTCAGGAGTAGTGTACTTACTTAGTAGCATGTGTGTTCATCTGGGTTCAATCCCCAGTCCTCAAAAGAAAAGACACCATCCTTAAACATCACACTTTGCTAGGTTGGCTTAAAGGACTTCCCCCTCCAAGCTGTTAATTTGTTCTAAAAATATTACAAAAAATACAACTTAAATCATACCTCCTTTTCCAAAAGGTCATTGTGTATCAAGCAAGCTCGTCTGTAGTTAAAATTTGCTACGGAGGATGGTTCAAGGTAAGATGAATGAAGAATATTTAAAACATCTTCAAATTCTCGAGAGCCTGGAGTCAATGGCTGGAAAAGTGCTAAAAATTAAAAAAAAAAAAAAGTTAACTGTAAGATCATTCTATCATAAATGTATGTTTTCCTATATTTGGAGTTTTTAAATCTAACTTAAAAATGAACAAAAGGCATCAAAGGCTACTTTGGGACATGCAAAAGATACCTATTAAAACTCACTGAAGACACATGTGGTGGCACATGCCTTTAATTCCAAGATTCAAGAAGCAAAGGTAAATGCAGGTGGATCTCTGTGAGACAGAGGCCAGCCTGGTCTACATAGTGAGTTCCAGGCCAGGTGGAGCTACAGGGAGACCCTGTCTTAAAATACAAAAAAAATGGGCTGGCCAGGCGTGGTGGCGCACGCCCTTAATCCCAGCACTTGGGAGGCAGAGGCAGGAGGATCTTTGTGAGTTTGAGGCCAGCCTGGTCCTATGAACACACACACACACACACACACACACACACACACACACACACACACACACCCCACAAAAAAAAAAAAAAAAAAAAAAAACACACAGGGGCTGGAGAGATGGCCTGAGGTTAAGCGCACTGACTGCTCTTGCAGAGGACCCAGATTCAATTCCCATCATCCACATGGCGGCCATGAACCATTCTTCTGACCTTGTTCTTGCAGAGGACCCTGGTACGATTCCCAGCATCCACATGGTGGCTATGAACTGCCCTTAACTCCAGTTCCAGGGGAATCTGATGCCCTCTTCTGACTTCCGCAGCATAGCATGATATGGGTGCACTCACATACATGCAGGCAATACACTCATACACATAAAATAAAAATAATAAATAAAATATTTTTAAAAAATACAAAAAACAAAAGAAAAAGAAAGAAACCTATACATGTAACCAACTTGTCTCGATTCCTATTCTGTTATACAGAAAACATGTTTAAGACTTTGGTAGCTCAGAAAACTAAACAATTACACCATAAACAAAATATTTTAGAAATCCAGCATGGTGGCTCATGCTTGTAATCTCAATACTTGGACAGCAGAGGCAGGAGAATTCTTGTAAGTTTAAGAACAGTCTGGTCTACAAAGCGAAGTCCAGGTCAGCCTGTATCCAAAAAAAGCAAAAAAGCATATTCTCTCTCATAGCTGGATGCTAGCTTTAAATCTTAGATGCAAATTGAAAATCCAGACAGATCAAGAACCTAATAAATGCTCATTGGGGGAGGCCTTCCTGGGAGGGCTGGCAGAATGTAGTGACAAAGGGGAAAAGGGGAACATTAAGAGTAAGAAGAGTTAAATGGGGTGGGGACTGAGAGGACAGGGCAAGATGGGAGTATGGGGAGGGATAAGTAACGTTAAAGGCCTTTAGAAAAAGCCATATGGATGGGGCTGGAAAGATGGCTCAATGGTTAAGACTCGGGTTCAAATCCCAGCACCCACATGGCAGCTAACAACTGTCCATAACTCCAGTCCCAGGGGATCCGACAGCCTCTTCTGACCTCTGCAGGTATTGCATGACATGGGTGCGCTTACCTACATGCAGGCAATACATGCATACACATAAAATTAAAATAAAATTTAAAAAATAAAAGAAAAAGTCATATGGAAATCTACAACAGAAGCTTCTTATATTTAAAAAAAAAAAAAAAAAAAAAACCCTTAATGCTAAAGGACTCTCTTCTAGAGGCTGTGGCTCAAAGGTACCATGGACCCTCAAACAGTATTGGTCATTACGCCTGCTCTTGGTGGCCCACCAGAACTTCCAAAGACTCTATTGCTGAAGACACTACATACATGAGCTATAGAACAAACAAGGAGAAATCAAGCTGGTGATGACTTCAGAGCCTCATCTCTATTGGCTATGTGTTCATAGTGCTGGAAGGTGCTGGGCACGCTACCCGAAGGAAAAAATAATCATCACCTTTACCTAGCTGTGAATCCTGTGAACTACAAATGGATTGGCAAGATACTGGTGCAATGGTGGCAGAAGTATTATGTGAGCAACCAAACACCCTCTAATTGGATTTAAGGTTGGCTTCATAGAAGGAGCCCATACCTGACACTGATATCAGGCTTAGGAACCTGAGGCTAGACAGGTCATGGGACATATAGGACAGCCTAATACTAGTTCTCTACTAAACAGTTATTATTATTAACCTTACTCCTAATGACATTGTTATACCCATAGATACATGCATCTCTCAACTCTCACCAAGGAAGTTTCCTTATGTAGCAGATGATGATTAACACAGAAACCCACAACTGGTCAATGTGCAGAGAACAAGAGGCTGCAGAATGCTTATCCCCTAATAGGACACTTATATCAAGGCTCAGGGATCATTATTGAGGAGGGAGCAAAAAGAGTTCCTTGTGGATGACCACAAGGAAAGAGTTTTACAGATATAGCTGGTCATTTACTCATATGAACTCACAGCAAAGGTGACAGCATGTTTAAGTTCCATGCAAGCTCAAACTAGACAAAATCCAAGCACAGATAGGGGGTAGTAGGTAAGAAACCCCAACCCAATCTAAGGAAATTTTGGCAACCAGGCTACTGGAAGGTGGAGAGACCATCTCTTTCAAGGATGGGACTCTTGATAGGTTAACCATGTTACAATAGATGGAGTACATTGTACACTGTACACTACTGTACACTGAAGGACATTTTGGGGACACAAATTAGACTCTACAGGTCTTATGTATATTTGTGTATATGTATACATGTATACATACATAAGTATATATATTAGGGTACATTAAATTGGGAGGGGGCAATAAGGGGAGGTGTGACTATGGGAGGGGCTCTAAATACTATCTAATTATATTGTATGAAAATCTCAAAAATTCAATTAAAAGCAAAAAAGCAGCAAAATATTCTAGTCAATGTGCCTATAAAATAAAATGGCTCTTTCCCTTTAGTAATATTGAATATGCTACACTGAAATAGCTTTATTATCAATATAAAGTAGAACATTTCACTACCAAATATTAAAATGCAATACTCTGAGCCAAACCAAGCAGCATAAGCCTCTAATCCCAGCTACACAGGAGGCTAAGGCAGGAGTGCCCAGTGTTTAAGGTCTATCTGAGCTACAGAGCAAGTTCCAGGATGGCATGGAAGAGAGTAAAGAGAGGACTGGTGACATACCTCAGTGGTAGAACACCTGCCTGGGTTCTTTCAAATCCTAGATGCAATCCTCAGTAATGAAAAAAAAAAAAAGTTGTAGGGTTTTGGAGCAAAAATTGAATACCATACTTGCTACTCACTGGCTTTCTGGAAGATGCTATGTAACTTAAGCAACAGCATAGTTCTCTCATTGCAAAATGGAAAACTCCAGGGCTGGAGAGATGGCTCAGCAGTAAAGAGCACTGGCTGCTCTTACAGAGGATCCAGGTTTGATTACCAGCATCCATACGGTTGGTGGCTAATAATTATGCATTAACTCCACTTCCTGGGGATCGGATGCCCTCTTCTGGCCTCTGCAGGCAATGCATGCACACAGTGTACTTACATATATGCAGGCAAAACACTCGCACATATAAAACTTAAAAATTGGAAACTCCAGTTCTCTTAATGACCATTATATTCCACATGTCATACGTAAGACAATATACAGAAAAAAGTGCTAAGCAAACAAAGCAACTGGTGAAAACTTAAGACAATTAAGCTTTTTTTTTTTTGGTCTTTTTGAGACAGTCTCCCTGTAGCCCCAGCTGTTCTAGAACTCACTATGTAGACCAGGCTAGCCTTGAACTCACAGAGATCCACCTGCCTCTGCCTCCCAAGTGCTGGGATTAAAGGCATGCACCACCATGCCGGGCCACTTTTTTTTTTTTTAATTTTATTATTTTTATTTTATGTGTATGTGTGCATTGCCTGCATGTAGGTAAGTGCACCCGCGTTGTACAATGCCTGCAGAGGACAGAAGAGGCTGTTGGATTGCCTGGAACTGGAGTTACGGACAGCTGTTAGCTGCCATGTGGGTACTGGGATTCGAACCTGGGTCCTCTGCAAGAACAACCAGTGTTCTTAACCGCTGAGCCATCTCTCCAGCCTCGACAATTAATTTTTTTATTCTTTGTGTCCTCACTGTTCTACAGAATCCCACTTTATTTTCTTCCATCTTTGAGACAGGGTCTTACTGTGTGTACCTGAGGCTAACCTCAAACTCAAAATCTTGCTTCAGGCTCCCAAGTGCTAGAACAGACACGTGCCACCACAATTTCAATTTGGTTCAACCTGGGGGATGGCACACAGACACAGACATGCCAAAGTTAGAGAACAATTTTCAGGAACCGCTTCTCTCCTTCCACTGCGGTATCTGAGGATTTGTACTCAGGTGCTCAGGCTTGCATACCAAGTGTAACCACTGAGCCAAACTTTTAAAACACTAAATCAACTGGGGCTAAAGAGATGGCACAGCAGTTAGGAGCACTTCCTGCTCTTCCAGAGGAAGTGCAAGTTAGATCCCCAGCATCCATTTCAGGTGGTTCACAATTTCCTGTTATTCTAGCTTCAGGGGGTATCTGAGGCCTCTGGCCTGGAGACACCTGCACTCACATGTTCATACCCACATAATTAAAAATGAAATCCTCCCCCTAAAAAACACTAAATCAACTATCTAGTGTGGTCTAATAACCTCAACAAGTCTCTTTTTTTTTTTTGGTCTTTTTGAGACAGGGTCTCCCTGTAGCCCCAGCTAGCCCTGGAACCCAATTCATAGACCAGGCTGGCCTTGAACTCAAGAGATAAACCTGCCTCTGCTGAGATTAAAGGTGTGTATTACCACACCCTGCCTAACCTCAACAATTCTTATAAAAATATTTTTATAAAAATTTATTTTTGTCTTCAAAAACTAAATCACTATAAAAGCATGGATCACATGCTTAAGTCAATGAATATGTTACACTCAAGCCATTATACCAACATCAAGATGGCTTAGGACAGAAACAGGACCACATGGCCCACTTGCTACAGTTCCAACCCAGCAGACACTGTTGATAGTAGGGTGTTATGTCTGGTTTGAATAAAGAAGAGATTTAGTATTTAGATT